GTAAACAGTGATTTCGGCTACTCCCATCACCGTCCAAAGTTCATCGTGCGGTCACGATTGTCCTGTAGTGTAATATTTTTCATTTTTTTTCTACGAATCAAAATTACTTGAAATTTTGAGCGTGTATTCATAAAAAATAGGGGAATCTTCTAAAATTATAAAAAAAATATTTTTCATGAAAATAATTGACCAAAATACCTTCAAAAAATTTTGAGAGTATTTTAGTCAATTTATTTTTTACGGATAATTATTTTTATATTTTTATTAGATGTGCTTCAGTACGATGTATATACTTTCTAAATTTCAGGTCATTTCGATTTGTAAAAAATACATGAAAAATAAAACTGTACTAGACAATCGTGACCACGAGATGAAATTTGGACAGTGATGAGGGTAGGCGAAAATGAATAGTGATTTCGCCTACTCTCATCACTGTCAAAAGTTCATCGCATGGTCACAGTTGTTTTATACGGTTTTAATTTTAATTTTTATTTTTACAAATCCAAATTACTTGAAATTTAGAGCGTGTGTACATATTAGTGAAACACAACTAATAAAAATATGAAAAAAATATTTCGTAAAATATAAATTGACCAAAATATCCCTATAAAGTTTTATGGGTATTTTAATCAGTTTTTGTTTTGTGAATTATTATTTTTATATTTTTATTATATTCTCCTATTATTGATGAACACACGTTCCAAATTTTAGATTATTCTGATTTGTAAAAAAAAAAAAAAAATTGAAATACTACTGAACAAATGTTAACATACGATGAATTTTGGACGGTGATGGGTATAGGCGAATCAATGTTCATTTTCGCCTATATATATGGAGCATACTAGTGGTATTTAATGCTCAATGTGGACGATGTGATACCCCATGGAGATGATGTTACACCCCTCTTAATGATAAAAAATACCCTTACTAAAACAAATATTCATGTACAAAACAAATGTATATAAGTATATAAATTTTGTTGAATATGATGTTATATATAATTGGGTTGGATCAGGATCCAAATCAGATCCACCTATACCAGATCCGAATTACTATTTGGATCTAAATTTTGGATCCGTATCCGACCCATTGGGTCCAAATATTTAAATCATACTTGGATCTGAATAGGATCCGAAATTCGAGTTTCTCATCCAAACCAGGTAAATTCTCTCTCTTTTTTATTATTTTTTCATTATCTTATATAAAATCTGCAAGGTTCTTGGGGAACCTCTGGCATGTGGAACTGAGAATCCCAAATGCCGAGATTCCACCCAAGATAGTGTGCATGATTGGCTAAATATGAAGTAAATAAATACACTATAAATCAAATGCAAGAAATAAATAAAACATAAAAAAACACACCACCAGAACATACGATTTATGTGGTTCATCCCTTAGGTCTATATCTATGGTCGTAGAAATCCACTATCTTAATGAAAACTACAATTTTGTGTTACAAGAGATAATATCTCTCTTTAAACACCCTCACCGATCTTCCCTTTAAAATTCTTATCCGAACCGAACAATACCGTCAATCAACATCTTTCCCACCACTATACTGCTATCGAAAAGAGTACCTTGAGAGTAACCAAGAGTCTTTCTCTCTCTAGATGTTGAACCTTAACTAACCGAGAATCCTATAGGAATACCGCCTCCCTCTTGAAAGCCATGTCTCTCTCTTCGAGACCCATCTCCATCTTGGAGATCCCTTCCCATAACCCCCAAAGGAGTGACCACCAAAGATGAGTGTTATGTCTTTTTTGACTCTCTTGTATAAATATCACTTTTTTATTTCTCCAAAAAATCTTTTTTTTTTTTTTACCATAATACCTTTATTTTTTGAACGAAATACATATGTGGTGAATTTGAATATCACCGAACCTAACAAGTTCAATGGAACTCTTTCTCTTGTGCCCCTTGTCTCACACGAGTTCAACGGAACTTTCCTACAATTCAATGGTTGTCTCTGTGCATTGCTTTCTAATGCTCGCTTGGTTGCAAGCAATGTACCTTCCATATATTATTTACCATATAAGCTTTGTTAACAACTTAACATCAGTCTAGAATAACTTTCGTAATGCTTGCTTCCATGGATTGTTGCCTCTTTAAACTGCATCAGTTCATCTTCATCTCTGACATGCCTTGTGCATATACAAACCTAATAATATCGAGGGTATTAATACATTTTCCTTTCTATATGATGCATAATCCGTCGATTCTATTCCTTAGTTTGGAGCTCAAAGGATTACTATCATTCTCTTAGATGGGATGGGAGTAGTTGATTTCAAAGGGGCTTTGGATCCTCAATCGTTGTCGAAGACTCTTCTCCTTCTTTAACTTTTTGCAGCTTGATGCCATTGTAATTGGGCCAAGCTTTTTATGTTTTTTCTACAACATAAAACTTATATACTTCCCTTTATCCAACCGTCATATACTTCCCCTTATCCAACCATTTATTCTGAATGAAGGGTTAAGATTGTCACAATCACAATGTCACGTCTCTATACTATTTTATTTTTAAATTTTTTTAATAAATTATTTTGATACCAAATTTTGGACTTCCAATCCTCTATTAAACTCGCACTAGCGAAAAATATTAAAATAATATTTTCAATAAAATAAAATGACCAAAATACCTCTGAAAGATTCAAGGGGTATTTTTGTCATTATATTTTATCGAAAAATTATTTTTAATATTTTTTATAAGTCCGCCCCAATGAGAATATGGCATATACCAAATTCCATATTCATACAATTTGTATAAAAAAACTAAAAATAAAATATTTTGAGACATTGGATCTAAGATCAAACGGTGAATGGCTCTCTTGATCAAAATTAGACGGCTGGATGGTAGGGGAAGCATAGATCTTCTATGCTGTAGGGGAAGTATAGAGACTGTTGGTACAATAGCTCCTGGAATCAATGCAGTGGTATGCTTTTCTCTTTTGATGAGTACCTAAGGAAAATGAACTTCATAGCTTTGCTATATTGTTCTGATCCCCATCACCATGCTTTACAAAGACTATTTAGCTGAAAACAAGAAGATGTATAATATCGAGTTTATTCTTAAAGACAAGCTAATTTATCGAGTTTATTGCAGGACACAAATGCTTATGGTGAGTACATTGCAGTACATAATGCTTAGGCTGAACATACCTTAAGAAAAATCTTTCCATTTAACATTCTTGAGCAACTTCGATAATGTCCTCTCAGCAATGCCATGTTTTTTAGGTCTCAATACTTATCGAGTGCCCTATTCTTTTTCAATTTTCATCAAATTCTACTTATATAAACTTTCTATCACTGGTGGTCCTAAATTTCTCTATTCTTGTGGTGAAACCATGCTTTACAAGTGTTTTGCACTGTTTTAAAGTATAGAAATACGTCAGAGTTGCTTCGTAGAAAATAAATGAACATATATGTTGCCAAATCATTAATGAAAGGGACATTGTACCTCATGCTCTTGTGAGATTCCACTAGACTTGGACCCTACACATCAGTATGGATGATCTCCAATGGGTATGGTAAAACATTCAACAATTGGACGCTTTTTAGAAAGGCAAATGCATACTTAACAAATGTGATACCATCGCATTGAAGCACAGGCATTCTGATAACTAAAATCTTGCCACCCATGTCTTTTAGCCTAGAAAGATTGCAATGCCCCCATTTTTTGGCACCATAATTTGGTAATATCAATGGAAGGAATCTTTTTTTGACAAATGTTAATGGTCTTATTAATGCTTTTGGAACGTTATTACATTATCAGAGGTAACAAGAGAAGATAAAGAGGCAGCCCCCATGGCCAAACAGTCTGCCGTCGAGTTTGCTTCTTGGTAAATATGAGTGAAAGAGACCGTAATGGTAAAAGACAAATCCGTGATGCGTAACTAGAGAGATCTAAGTTTCCAAAGAATAAATTATTCTTTATTACACCACTTAACCACATTAAGAGAGTCCCCCTCTATCCAGCATGAATGGCCACAGTTTCTGTCTCTAAAAATCTCCAAACCTTGATAGAGCATACGCAGTTCAAAGAAATTTGCCGTTGCATACCCTATCGGCCCAGCATATCAAAAGAGCGTATTACCATCACAGTCTCTCAGAATGCCACCAATACTAGCTATCTTTGGATTACCAAGAGAACTTCCATCAAAATTGAGCTTCAACGTACCCACAAGAGGCGCTATCCACATGCTTTTAGGTCTAGTCCTAATGGCACCCAGCCGAAAAAAATTATTGAGGTTAGCAAAAAAATCAATCTTAGTCACACCCCATCTTCCTTTAGAGACACTTACAACTCTATTTACTACAATAACTCTCCACTCACAACAATAACTATTAACTTACAACAATAACTACTAACCACCTAGTAATTTCATAACTTCTTATTACACAAAACTACAAATTTTAATCTCACTATATCACTCACAATAAAATAAAATAAAGACTAATATAATTTCTAGAAAATACACTCTAACGATTTTAATAAATCCTACCTCTTTTTTGCCACTGTTACATCTCACACAGGGAAAAACATATCTGGTCTACACAAGATTTGGTATTCATGAAGAGCCTTGGCATTCAGCTTTTACCTTGCGGAGATGCTATCTCGAGCAATCGATTTTGGTTCTGTCCCATCAACTACATCCTATAGACCTCACTCTACCAAGTAACCTTTCTGATGCACCGTCTTATTCCCATTGTTCTTCTCAATGAGAATTTAGGGAACTGTCATACACAACAATGGCAAGGTTGAGTTTCTTCACTCCTTTGAAAGAAAAGAAAAAGCCTACAATGAGACTATATATCTCTACAGTACAATGTGGTCACAATTAATCTTGACCATTAGATGTGAAATTGGACGACTTTATTTTTTACATCGAAGTTTTTTCGAACTTTGTGATATACCAAAGCTATCGGATGTAAAGGTAAATGATTGTATACAAATCCCTTTTGGCTAAAATGGGTGTGCACGCTTTCTCTCTCAATAATTTTCTCACACTTGGTGGCCCTCTATCTTTCTCTAGACCTCACGCACTTCTCTCTTTTTCATTATCTTCTAATGCACGAATCTTACCCTCATATCCCACACTAAATACAAAAACTTCCGAATAGATCCCTATTTATATGCATATTTGAGATGGGAATTTACTCGAGGTCTATCTTGGCCTGATCTGTGTCCAAACTTGTTATCTAGAAATACTGGTAAAGATGTGGGCTCTAAAAAATTATGAGTTATAAGAAATAAGTCCTATAGAACTTTCCCACAAATCAAGGCTGGCTTAGATATGCATAAAACCAAACAGATTTCAAGAAAACTCGGACAAAAAAAAGTGAGGAAGGAGTTTCAAATGATTTTAAGGAAAAGACAGCAAATCATAGAAAACAAAGAAAAGAAAAATAAGGCAAAGAGAACGAAATACTTGGGAGGTTCTGCACCCAGAATTGGGGCCTAGATCAGTTAAGATGTGAATCATTTCTCTTTCACCTTCGAGTTTTGCTAAACCATAATTATCTTGAACTCTAGAGAAAGTGTTACGATATGATTTGCTTTTAGGGCTTTGGTTGATCTAAGAGGGATGTTCTCCTCTTATGGTTTGCTCTAAATTTTTGGAGGGCATAGGGTTGTTGATCAACTAGTATTTGGAGGCTACAAGGCTTAAGAGGGAGAAGGATTAGGGTCAGGGTCAGGGTTTTCATGCCCGAGAGGTCGCAAAATGGACTGGACGTGGTCTAAAAATAGGCCAAAGTCACCAAACACATGAACATAACAGTCTGGATTTACTCTAAACCATCTGTAGGACATCGGCAAACTGTGTGCCGTTGGTCTACATTCGGCTTCGGTCGGTGCAATTTTCTCGTACTTGCTTGTTTTGAAGATAATATGAAATTTTTGGGTCTGTACAGTCTCTGTTCTTCTAATTTTGAATACTGTATTCTTTCACACATGGGACGTACCTATTTTTGGTGATATTCTCCTAAATGCGATATTTGGGAATATTTGAGGAATATTCTATGGTTGAACTATGGTATGGTGTAGACTGTAGGTCGTAATATCTTATGCTCACTAGGCTAGTGTGCTTGAGGGTACAAGGATTTAAGAATAAATCTAATTTCGATGGGGGTGTCTACATATTGAAACATGGATCGGTCTTTCATAATGATATAAAAACTCCAACTTACTTTAGTATTCTAGTAACGTACTAATTTAGCAATTTATTTTCAACATGTACATGGTTTTCCTATGCCCCATGAGTAGATATTTTGTTCTCTCAATAAAAGATCAATAAATTTAGTGCTGCCTCTCATTCTCTTAAAAATAACATGTACATGGTTTTCCTATGCCCCATGAGTAAATATTTTGTTCTCTCAATAAAAGATCAATAAATTTAGTGTTGCCTCTCATTCTCTTAAAAATAACATGTACATGGTTTTCCTATGCCCCATGAGTAGATATTTTGTTCTCTCAATAAAAGATCAATAAATTTAGTGTTGCCTCTCATTCTCTTAAAAATAAATATGTAAAATTCTCTATAAAAGAAATTCAAAACCAATTTGAGGCAAGAATTTTGAGAGGGTCTAGCGATTGAAAATTGTTGTTCTGACTTGGAATCACCTGAGTCGGATTGAAATCCTTAGCTAGGAGATTTCATTTTTAGAACCTGAGCAGCACCCCAATTCTCCAGTTTTTTTGCTTCTCTTTTAATTTATTTGTTAAATACACCCCGATCATTGTTGACACATGAATCCGAGACCGCCTCATTAACCCGAGATAAAGGATTCTTACCAACGCAAATAACTCTGGATAATGTATCCCCCAATCACTTATGCTGCCATGAGAGAATACACTCACCCCTACCAACCATTTAGTGTTTCTTTCAACAACTGGTTTACAATAAAGAATTCCTTTCCAGAGATCCGATTTTCAATTATTTCCGACTGATAACGAATTTGAATCCACCTCATATTTAGCCATAAGCACCTGTCTGCATGGTTGATTATTTCCTTGAGTAGATCTCCAGTGCCGTTTAGTTAAATGTCCTCGATTCATTAATTGTAAGCCTCAATTATATATCTGATTCCAAACTTTCTCCCAAATTGAGTTATTTTCCGTAGAGCTTAAAAGGCTAAACAACTATTTCGGATAGATGGTGTAAGGGATATAATCGTTCTAAAGTAGGAGATGTTGTAAGGGATATAGGGGTGGCAATGGTCCCGACCTGACCAGGGACATGATAGGTAGACTCGACATGGCTTCACAAATTGGATCCAACGGGTCGGATCTGGGTCTTGTTTTGGATCCCACATTATATTTTTTAGTCTAATTTATAAAATATATTTAAATACATTTAAATATTTGATTTTGAGCAATCTATCCATGGATCCCACTTTATAAATTTAGAGATGAAAAAACAAATGAATATTTCTTTAACATTATGACCTATTTTACAATTATATCAATATCGTTTGAACTTAAAAAATGATTAATGAAGATAATTGTTACTATTGTTAATAGTTATTTTTATTTATTTATTAAAAAACTTTATCAAAATACTTATAAGAGATGAAATATTTAACAATGAATATATTATTATTATTATAAAATATTATCATCAATAAAATTTATATATCAAGTCGCAAAAAATATGGATGACTAATGTATGTGTTTGGCATTTTGTAAAACAAAGATATCAAATTTGTAAAAAAAACAAAAAAATATAATTAAGGGACTAATGGTCTCAAAGTTTACAACTTAAAAGGGTGTAAGGGATTTTGGTTAACCCAGGGGTTCATAGGAATGCAAATTTTAGGGAGGGGTTAGAGATCATTTTACCTAATTTAAATTTGATTCCCTTCTCCTTATTTCCCAGATCCACTGGAAAATGGCTGCAAAAATACGAGAGCGAGGTTAGAGAGAAGGAAAGAGACCTGGTATGGTGATAAAGAAAAGGTCCATTTGGGTTAGTCGAAACCTTTACCCTTCGCATTGTGAGCTCCAATTTGCAAAGAACCTCATTCACGTCTGCGTCACAATACAAAAAAAACATGGATCTTGTAAAAAAGAAAGAAAAACCAAGAGAGAGAGAGAGAGCAGTAGTAATTAGAGGGGAATCGATACATGTAGAAGGCCTCTTCGATTTGGGGAAAGAGAAGTTGAGGAGGTGGCCTAGGGCTTGCTTCAAGCGATGAGCAATAATAGAGTGAGGCGGCAGAGAAACAAGAAAGAAACAAGAAGGACACGCCGAGAGATGGGTCACAAGAGAGGAGAGAGAGGGGATCGAGAGATCTGGAGAGAGAGAAGGGTTGGGCGACAGAAGGGGCTGCAAAGAGAGAATGCCTGTTCGGTATAGAAGATAGTTGTCTAGAATTTTAAATATCAGATTGCTTTTTTGCGATATACATCTCACTTGTCCGTATTTGATTTTAACCATTTTTGGAGTTTAGAATTTTATAGTTAAATATTAAAATAGATTTTTAAATAATCATAAGAATTTTTTATACTAAAATTACACGTTATGATAAAATTTAGAGGTTCGCCTTAATTGGATTGTTTGATGTTGCAACCTTATAGAAACCATACCATGTAAGCATTGTTTTCTTGCATCTTATTTTGAAGCAAAGTAGTTTTATTTATGTTGTTTGCCATCTTTTTGCTTTCACGTTTGACCACTCATATTTTCAATTATCCACCTGTTTCTTTTGATTCAACCATTCAAAAATGGGTCGCGGTATTGATTTTACGAGTTGAACTGACCACCAAGATTCCAACACACAAGCAACCCACACCTCTATAAGTAAATTGTGTTGAGAAAGTAAGGGAAGATATGTACAGAGAGGGAAGACGGTGAGTGCTCCTATGTGCTCTCGTGTGAAGTATGATGGTGATCGAAGGTAGTGTTTGCGATGATTGTCAGTGGTGGTACTTCAGGGTTAAATGGTATGCTTTTTTTTGCGTGTGGGAAAGACCGCATGGGAAAAGCTTAATATTAAGCCGGGACTTTTCGTCACTGGCTCATTTCCACCCCCCCATTGCTGATTTCTTCGGCTTAGTTGATTGGGCTAAAAGGTGTTGGAACATTTCCTATTGTCATGATCTCAAGGTGATAGCAATCAATAAGGTGGTTTTTAAACTGAAATCTGAGGAGGAGGTTGTCATAGCTCTCAAATTTCGATTCTGTCGAATCCGAGAATGTTTGTTATCTTTGGATTTATGGAAGGTGAGGATCATAGCTCTTTTATATATAAAAAGAATATTTAAATTACTCTTAGTGGCATTCCTCTGTATGCGTGGAGCACAGAAATCATTAAAAGGATTGCTAATGTTGTGGATTGCTACAAAGATATGGATTGGGACTTTCTTAAATCCACTTTGCGATGGGGTTCGTGTCAAAGTTTCCATAATGAACAGTGTTAGCATCCTGACAATATTTATCTTAACATTGGGGATGATTATTTTGTTATTCGAGTACGGTGTGATCCCACACGATCGACCTTGAGGGCTAATATACTTGGTGGAGTTTCTGAAACTCGCCATGGCAGAAAATTGCAGTTGCCGGAGAATACTCAGGCACTGACGCCGGTAATACAACAAGTCAAGGGTAACCGCCTAGCTGGACCCCGACATAATCCTAGGGAACTTAAAATTCAAAAAACGGTAACCCCCAAATCTTCAAAACGTTGGGTGGCAGTGAGGTATTTTCCATAATATACGCAAGGTTTCTCTCTTTATTTCCGTAACCCCTGGACACCTAAGCGAGGAGATTTGGTAGGTTTGAAAAGGCTACTCCCAGCTGAGTCTTTGGTAAATGTGGATATCCTGCCGAAAATCATGCCTAAAGAGTAGATACTTGACATATCTCACTTGCACAATCAAAGGGAGCTATCAAAACATTCTCATGAGATTGTAACTACATCTTTGGCATCGACTATTATTGCTGATTCTGTGCCATGCACGTCTGGGGTAAGATTGCCATGCCATGCCATTAGCCCACCTTTGAGAAACATGCCATGGTACAGGTGGCTAATTGCACCAAGTTTGTTGTGCTTAAGGAATTTTCTATTCCTTATTTGACCAAACAAGAAAGTACACTTTACTTTCCTCAGAAGCTAGCCTTGGTTACTGCTCTCGTTATTCTCTTCTTTCACTGGAAAGGCCTCGGTCAACCGTGGTGTGTGGTGTGTGGTGCTTGTATGTGCTATTCTCAAGTGTAAGATGCACCATCTGTCTTATCGATATGTTGCGGTTAAGGGCTACTTTAAGAAAACCCGCAACTGTTTCGATCCATTGTTTATCGATCCCTTGGCTATTGTAATGGTGGACCCATATGAGCCTCCGCCATTGTTGGAGACAGAGGAGGTTCCTGCTTTACTTGCCCCTATGAAGGTTCCTGTGGTTAATGCCTTGATGGATGTCGTGTCTAACACGACCTCTGAGTTGGCAATGGTTACGGTTCCTAAGCCTTCACCTTTGGTAGTTCTTCCTTCACCTAATGATGGGCCAGCTGAAGATATTTTGGATGTTGTTTCCTTGATCCAAAAGTTGCTGATCGAAATGGGCATGGAAAATGCTCCCCTGGTGTTGGTGATGTTTGAGATCCGTAATCGAAGAAAAGCTAAAGAGAAAGTGAAGGACAAGGACTCACTCAACCCTATGGAAAAGACCCCTATTAAAGACGTGCTAAACTGTACCCCAAGGGGTAGGATCGCATCCAAGGCTAAGGGGAAGAAAACATATCGGAGGGTTGTTCGTTCCTCGGCTAGATTGGAGGCTCGAGGCATTCGTAAATGTGGTTTTCTGAATGCTACAATTACTTTATGTGATCTTGAGCTGGTTGATCTTGGTACTTCATCCTCTTTCTCTTACTGATGATTATGAATGGGAGACCATCGTGCCGCCGGATGCTCGTGATGGGGTCAGCCCTTTCGGACCAGGTTCTTCATCTTCTACTCCTTAATTTTAATGAATTTTTTTTCATGGAGTCTTAGGGGCCTAGGTGATCCGAGGCGTAAAAAAGATGTTCGCTTTTTAGTTTCGAAGTACAAACCTGTAATTTTGGCTTTGCAAGAGACCAACCTTTTTGTCCTACTCTTTCTATGGCAAGGGCAGTTTGGGGCTCAGGGGATGTCTGTTTTTGTGGTATTGATTCTGTTGGAAACTCTGGTGGGATTTGGACTTTATGGGACCCATTGGTGCTTAGAAATTTTGTTTCAATTGTTAAAGATAATTTCATACTTCTGGGTTTTTTGGGGCCTACTCAGGGTTTTTCTTGGGGTTTTATGAATGTGTATGACCCGTCTATTTGTTCTTTAAAACGTGTTTTTATTCAGGAAATGTCATCAGTAATTAGGGATTTTGCTTTGCCTGTTGTTATTGGGGGGGGGGGGATTTAAATCTTATAAGGTGGTCTGATGAATGTTTAGCAGGCCACCCAATTAACTCTATAATGAGATTCTTTAATAGGTTTATTATCAATAATGCCTTTTTGGACCCATCGATTGTTGGATTAAGATTCACTTGGTCTAATAATAGTGTTGAGAATCTTGCTATGCCCAAATTGAATAGGTTTTTTATTGCAGCAGAATGGGCAGAAGTCTTCTCCCTTGGTAATGTAAAATCCTTGGTGCATTTATCCTCTGACCATCTTCCAATTCTTCTGAATACCGGGAGTCAGAAGAGTGGGTCTAAACCTTTTATATTCGAATGAAACTAGTTGGAGAACCATGAGGTGGTCGATCTTATTAAGAGAACGTGGGCTACCACTGTGGTTTTGGGATCCTTGGATTTCCAAATCCACAAAAAATTGCTGATCTTAAAGCACAAACTATTGGAGCAGAGAAAGGAGAACCATATGAGTTTTAGAGCCAAGATTGATAGTCTAGTTGTTGAGATTGAATTGTTGGATCAAAATATTCAAGAGGGTGGGGTTCTAACTGAACAGTTGGTTTGGGAGCATAGTCCTAAAATCCAAGAATTGGAGGAGGCACGGAGAATTGAGGAAATCTATTGGAAACAGAGATCTAGGAACAAATGGTTGAAACAAGGTGACTTGAATATGAAATTCTTCCATACGATTGCTGCTGCCAGAAAAAGAAAAAATGATATTTCGGGCCTTTCTATTCCTGGCATTGATCCGGATGGTAGTGAGACGATGGAAGGATGGGTCATTCAACATTTTACGAATGCTTTTACTAGGGAGGTGACCTTTCAGTCTAATTTTGATAATGTCCCTTTCAAAACTCTCGATAGCAGTCAGATAGTAACATTGGAAAGGAACATTACCACTGTGGAACTTAGAAGTGCAGTTTTTGCATCGCCAGGAGACAAAGCACCGGGTCCGGATGGATTCCCCCTAACTTTCTTCCATAAATTCTGGGCTTTGGTGAAGGATGATTTAATGGCGATGGTGAAAGAATTTTTCAATAGAGGTCATCTTTTTTAAGGAGTTAACTCTACTTTTCTAGCTCTGATTCCTAAAAAAATCTACGAGTGGGTTATCAGACATCTACCAATAAGCTTTCTTTCAAGTGTTTTCAAAATTATTGCAAAGGTCTTAGAGAACGTATTAAAGGAGTCATGCCTTCTCTTATTTCAGCCTCACAATTTGCTTTTATCCAAGACCATCAGATTACTGACAGTATCTTGGTAGCTCAAGAGTGTATTCACTACCCTATGTTGAGTAAGAGGGCAGGTGTACTCTTTAAATTGGATATGGAAAAAGCTTATGATAGGGTTGAGTGGGGGGTGCTACTTTAAATTATGAAAAAGATGGGGTCTGGAGCTCGGTGGAGAAGTTAGATATATGGATGTTTCCCTACGACACATTTCTCTGTGCTCTTCAAGGGGAGCCCTGCTGATTTTTTAAGGCATCGAGAGGGCTTAGGAAAGTAGACCCTCTCTCCCCTTTCTTATTCACCATCTCACTGAATGCTTCAGCTTTATGTTGGCCAGGCTTGAGCTTTTGGGTAACTTTAAGGGCTTTCATATTGTAAATTCTAATATTATTGTTTCACATTTACTATATGCAGACGATACTATTATCTTTTGTGACATAGATGAGGTATAACTAAGAACTGTTACAAGATTCTTGGATTATGTGAAGTGGTGCTGGGAATTAAGGTGAATTTCTGCAAGTCATCTTTGGTAGGAATCAATTATCATGAGCTAAATGTCCAGAATTTGGCACTTGTAATGGGATGCAAAGTTGAATCATTTCCCATTACCTACCTAGGGTTATCGATTTCGGATTCAAAATTCCCCATCGCTGTTTGGGATAGGGTGCTTGAAAGGATACAAGTTAAACTGGATTTGTGGAAACATAAATAGCTATCCTTGGGGGGGAGGGTCACCCTTTCTATATCATGCCTAGCCAATCTT